TGGGAATGCACCTGGGGAAGGCTAAAAAGAGCAAGGACACAGTCCTGGGAACGCGCCTGGGAATGCAGTGTACAAGCAAGGCTCTGGAGATAGTAACATATATAGATAGGGAGTAACTCAGCTGGGCTGATGGCAGGGGTAAGTCGTCCTTGAGGGTGAGACAAACAAGTTTGAGACAAACAGCTAGGAATGCAGCTGAGCCTGAGAAAGTAAGAGATAATCCACACAGCTGCAGCTGCAAGTAGGGAGAGTACCTAAATGCTATCTTTAGAGCTCAGCCAATTATAAATGATTGATAGTTGTATGCCTGTCCTGCACTGTATAAGAAAGAGCCTGTTGGACAATAAAGTTGGAGCTTGCTTTATCACCCACACAGAGTCAACCGCTTGCTTCCCCGCGTGGAACTTTCCCTTTCCCAACAGGGATGGAGGGAGAGGGATTGTTAGCATGGAAAACACAATCACTAAATGATTGTATGATTTTATGGAAGAGCTCTGGGAGTCGGGGTACAGACCCAAATCTGACTCCGACATGGATCTGAGATGGATATATTTTTATACTCTTCTTTTACACAACCATGGTATAATCATACAGTAATCATTACTTTGCTGTTGTTCTATTGATTTCATCCAAGCATGAGTTCAAATTCCCTTTCATTATTGTTGTATTTCACCCAAGCATGAGTTTGAGTTCCCTTTTTCCATAATGGTTGTATAATTATCTATTATGCAGGTGGGTACGTACAGGATGTACACGGGTAGGTACACGCAGGTGTAGGTTCACATCGTTCTACTAAGACAATGGTCATTCTTGTCATTAAGGCCTACTTTAGCTACCACGATTTTAGAAACATTTTATCTCATGTTATCAGGATGGAGGGAGAGGGATGGGAGGGAGAGCCCTGCACCATGCCCTCCTGACTCTGTGCCCGCTGTGCCCTGCAGGACAGCTGTACAGCCGCTTGCCGCCCGAGGACGCGGGAGATCTGCACCTCCAGGTACCACCACTGCTGGACATTCCCTCCGGGACAGATCCAAGGGCTGTGTGTGTGATTTGCCATGGGAACATCATCATTCACTGCTCCATTCACCTCTGTCATTGATATTTGGGTCTCCCGATGGAGATTTTGTCCACTTGATAACACCACAGCAGCAAGTGGTAATGTAATCAAAATGTTCTGTTTTAAAGTGTCCTTTAACATATCTTTAGCCTCAGGGCTCAGAAGAGGCCAAGGTGTTTGTACATGCCTTCCTGAAACGTAGCATGCCTGGAATGAAAGATGAAGCTATCCAGGATATGTTAACTCGGAAAGCTGTAGTTCTTGAGCATTATCCCAAGAAAAAGGCCAAGCAGAAGAGGAGGAAGGCAAAAGGTTTTACTGCCAAGCAGAGGCGAGAGCTGCGTCTGTTTGAAATTGAACCCGAACAGCAAAGGTGAGAGCTGACACCTTCTTCTTTGTGTAGTAAAAGTGCAGGTACATCAGAAGTAGGTAAAAGCAGCAGCACATGCCTGTGAACCCTTCTGCATGTAAAGTCATGCTTGTGGCATTTCACCATGAGAAAACAGTTCTTTTGTCTGTATAGCTGGAAGATTCATTTCTGTTTGTTACTGTTTCTCTTTCCTTTTGTACACCAGAATAGGACAGGAAATCAAACCCAAATACAGCCACCTCTGATTTCAGTTTTTGGAGTCAGACTAGCTGTGACCAGAGAGTCAAAATTCTGAATCAGGTCCCTTGAACTGATGCATGCTGAATGAAGCCCCTGCAGTTGGTAACATGGAGTAAAAGAGTAGAAATCTCTTTAGTCTTAGGCACGTCCAAAACACATCACTGTTTTGGGTTGATAGAGAAGAGCATGTTTCATGCTTGTTTTGTAAAGTAAACCAGGTGTTTGGAGTGGGTCACCTTACAGCTTACTTCAGTAATCAACCAATAGATTTTTGTGGAACTTAAGTTTTGTATAATACTTTTGTCCTTTTTTTACTGTAGATATGCCATCTTCCTACCCCTCCACGAGCTCTGGAAACAGTATATCAGAGAACTGTGCCACGGGCTCAAACCAGACACGTAAGTTGAGATGCTTTAAAACAAGTGTGGGTTTGATTTAGTAGATACTGAGTTACTGCTCCAAACACTGTGGTTAATTGAAAAGGATATGTATTATTTCTGTACTATTACAGTAGTCATGGTCACACCTTGTAAACCTGACTCCATATGAATTTTCTTTCCCTCCTTTCTGATCTCATTCTCTTCCTCAAGGCAACCCCATATGGTTCAGAGCAAGCTGCTAAAAGCTGATCTCCATGGAGCTATCATTACAGGTATGCTGTTTGTTTGCTTTTAAATATATATAAAATGTACATATATTTATATATAAT